CTGGGCCTTGGCCCCAGGCCGCATTGTTTTCATTCTGCCTCCACCAGAAGGCAGCTGGAGTCTCCATTACCAGCTGCTGGGCCACATGGAAAATCAGCCAGGAGTTGGTTCAAACGTGTTCTTGGGCTAACAACCAGTATTTTTTTAATCTGGGCATGGAGAAAAGAATGCCATACTCAGAGTCGGATAATCCTGTTTATCGACCTAATTTTTCCAGCTGTTCTGCTCCGCTTTCAGAATGACCGTCCTTCTTGTGATTTTGAAATAGCTCTTGCCTGGGTCTGCTTCGGTGTACTTGTCTGACCCCCTGCCTCTCACACACAGAGGCTGCCAACAGCACTGCAGAGGCCCAAGCCCCTGGTTGGGGAGATGCTCGCCATTCCTAGAAGGAGTACTTCTGGCTCTAGAAGTTCGTCTCTTCCCTCAAAGTGAGTGTTTGTCTTATGAGTGACCAACACTCTCATGGGTTCATGGGGATACTTCCTCAGCCAGGCCCAGTTCTTTTATAACCGATCTAGATCACTCCTCAAAGTGAGCTGAATTAAGGTAGAGGCATCAGGCAGCATCCACAGAGAACAGAGTATGAATGGTGCCCCTGTGGGCAACTCAGTGACCCCACCTGAGGGCACCTGAAGGGGCAAGGCTGTCAAAGGAGGCACCTGAAGAGATCGGAGGATGGAGAGACTGAGGGCAGGAAGGCAGCTCAGCCTATCCCAGGCCAATTTGATCTGAGGCTCCACAGCAGCTGCTCTTTAAGAGAGGTGAAGAACCTGAGCGCTATTCATATGGTATTAAACTGAAACCCCACCCATATGACAATCCTGTAAAGCATGACTCTGGCCACAACTGACACTCAAGGCCAGAAAACACCTGCCGTTAGTCCATGTAATAGTTCCCTCCACTCAAGGGAGCTCTGAAGTTTATGTGAAAGATTCACAAATTGGAAATCTGAACCCTGGCTTTGTGACTGTAGGTATTCCTTGCTTGGCCCAATAGATATATTCTCCACAAGTTCCAGGTAGATCAATTTGTTATGTCAAGCCATATTTCAAATTTATGAGGTGAGTCTGCTATCAAGCAAAGAATTATCCCTAAATTTATCTGCTCTGTAAATCTTAATTTTCATTTATTTGATTTCCTTAAAGGGATACAGCCAGAATTAGAGACATGGAAATAGCAAGGTCAACGTGAAAAGTTACCCTACATGCCAAACCCTGAGAATGATGTCCAGAATTCAACTCAGTCAAAGGAAAACTTTTCTAAAAGAAACAGGAACTGCTGTCCCTACTGAAATAATATTCTTGGGAGAGATAAGGTTTTAGACCTCACCTGTTATTGGTACCATAATGTAAAGAGGTTTAGAGACCTTTGCTTGAAAGGACTTTGATTTGGAGAGGAGAGGACAGAAAAGTCAAGAGGTTACAAGTTTTGACAAAAATGAGAAGATGAGGTCACCAAGGGTAAACTGAGTCAACTTCCCAATTTGACTTGGGGTTCGGACCTGACTTGAGTCTTCCATTTCCGTTTTGCGAAATGGGAGTGGTGGTGGAGAAAAGGGGAGAATTAGTCTAGGACTGGGTTACTGTCCAGACCAACCTAATCAAAACCACTACAAAGCATGAGGCCTGGAGACGAAACACTTGAAAATTTAACAACAGCATGAGAAATTTAGACAAAATGTTCTCTCAATTCCTTGACATTTTCACATAGTAAGATTCTGAACCAAGTTCACCACAACTCTCCTCCCTTAAACAAGCTATAAAATATGGTGGCCTGGGAGCCAAGAGAAGACAGAAGACCAAAGCTGGAGGGAAGTATTGTCTTCTATCGTTCCTAAGAGACCTGATTTTTAATGGGGTGGCCTTGGCATTTCCACAGTGTACAGAACAGCTAAAGAATATTCACTTTGCACTTGTGGGTCTGTTTCTCATGACGCCAAGTTGGGTCCATAGTAATCTGTTCAAACTTGTCCTCCTCAGCACTCCTACATTTCTGAACCAGTAGGTGCACTAACGCATTGAGTCCCGCTGTGATGTAATTAAGGGATAATGTTTGCAGCACGGAGTAGAGAGAGTTGTAAATGCCTCCCATGGGTGATTAAAAGCTAGGGGAAGTGGAATAACTATAGAATTCATTTGGTGCAAGTTTATTCCAATACCAAGAGCATTCTTTTTTCCAATTATAGGATAGGGTTTCTAAAAAGATATACAGCATCCATAAGCAAACATTTTCATGTCTTCATCTCCCTCTAGGGAATGGAGAATGGAAACTACTGCATCCTAGGAACGCTTACTTATCTAGGAGGGAGACTTGGCTGACTCTGTATTTAGGAATGAGAAGAGAAAACCAAGAACTGCTTCAGAAAGGAATAAATGGGGGAAATGCATGTGTACTTCAATTTTGAAAGGAAGAGGTGCACTTCTAACTGTATGAATGGTTGGTTGTAATTCTCACTGCCATTTTTAAAAATTGAAGTATAGTTGATTTACAATATTGTGTTAGTTTCAGGTATACAGCAAAGTGATTTGGTTATACATATATACATGTATATATATCTATATGCTTTTTTCTTTTTAAATATTTATTGGAGTATAGTTGATTTACAATGTGTTAGTTTCAGATGTACAGCAAACTGAATCAGTTATACATACACATAGATCCACTCTTTTTTTAAGATTCTTTTCCCAAATAGGCCATTACAGAGTATTGATTAGAGTTTACTATGCTATACAGTAGGCGCTTATTAGTTATCTATTTTACATATAGTAGTGTGTATATGTCAATCCCAATCTCCAGATTTATCCCTTCCCCCAACCCTCTGGTTAACCATAAGTTTGTTTTCTACATCTGTGACTCTACTTCTGTTTTGTAAATAAGTTTCCATTTTTTAGATTCTACATTCTTTTTCTATGATTCTTTTCCATTATAGTTTATTACAAGATATTGAATATAGTTCCCTGTGCTACACAGTAAAACCTTGTTGTTTTACCCACTGCCATTTTTGACATCAACAAACCACTCACTTATCCTGTCTGGGTCTCAATTTTATACATCTGAAAACGTGAGGGGTAGAGGTACTTAGATTAGGTGAGTTCTGAAATTCTTTGCATTTCAGTCCCACATACCCAAACATCACAATGGAAAGTATGAGTGAGGATCTGGGGGAATCAGAACTCTCTTACACTGCTGGAAGGACTGCAAGCTGACACAATTTTGGAAATAAGTGGTGGTATAAATAAAACTGAAAATATATATCACTGTGACCCAATAATTTTATTTCTAGGCATATTGCTTAGGGAAACTTTCACATATGTGCACAGAGAGACAAAGACAAAAATTCTCACTGCACGGTGTTTATAAAAGCCCAACATTGAAAAAATATAAATATCTATCAATAGAAAAATAGGAAATAGATAAATAAAACATGGCCTCTTCACAGAAAGGAACACTAAATAGCAGTTTAAAAGAATGACAAAGCTCTATATAAATCAATATTTCTAAAATACAAGCTATTAAGGAATTCCCATTGGTTACATTTGTGGAAATCTGAGTAACTAAAAAAGAATAATGACTGCTACTGAGTGTAACACACTGAATCAATAAAATTCATGAGTCCACAATAATACTCAAACAAAAAAGAAAAAATCATACTGTTGGATGAAAAGTACAGTAGTACAGTATAATACATAGAGTATGAATCCATTTACATACATTTTAAATGAATATAAAAATAATACCATTCAGTGTTCACAGATTCATAATACATGACTCTGTGTGTGTGTGTGTGTGTGTGTGTGTGTGTGTGTAAAACCAGGGAAAATAGAAAGGAACTATGTAAGTTCATGACAATGTGATGTGAGAGGCAGGGTAGGGGTCTGTAATTGGAGACTGGGCATAAAGGAGACTTCAACTTAACCAGTATGATTGTTTGTGTGTGTATATATATATATATATATATTTATATACATACACACACGTAACAACAAAATGTCATTTCTAGATGCTGGAGAAAAGGTGCTTATTATAACTTTCTTCTCTGCATTAAAAAAAATCTTCTCAAAATAAAAAATAAAAGTATATGATCAGCAGTGCTTTCAGCAGACGGATGTTGACAAGCTCCCTCTGAGCCCCCATGCAAAGGACCTCCAAGAAACTGAGGCAACCTAACCTTTTAGGTCTTTACTGTATAGTTCCATGCTAGCCAATATGGTAGCCACCAGCCACATATAGCTACCTGAATTTGAATTCAAATTAATTAAAGTTAAATAAAATGAAAATTTCAGTCCCTACACTGTACTAGCCACATTTCAAAGGCTGAAGGGCCACATGTGGCTAGTGTCTATTTTATTGGGCAGCACACATACAGAACATTTCTTTCATTCCTCTAAATTCTATTGACAGAGCTGGTCTTGAGCTAAAAACCTGTCTTTTAGACAACCAGAACACTTTTAGTCATTGCTCTTTCCCTAATATGTCCTTCTGCCCATAGGAAAACCAAGGTAATGACTAGGAGGATTTTTTTGTTTCTAGAAGGAATATGTCCACTATAATTCTACATTCCAGTTTTGACTGAACTAACATTTTCTTGTGAAAAAAATGAGGTAAATCATCTTTAAAAATTGATCTTAAGGGCTTCCCTGGTGGCGCAGTGGTTGAGAGTCCGCCTGCCGATGCAGGGGACGCGGGCTCGTGCCCCGGTCCGGGAGGATCCCACATGCCGCGGAGCGGCTGGGCCCGTGAGCCATGGCCGCTGAGCCTGCGCGTCCGGAGCCTGTGCTCCGCAACAGAAGAGGCCACAATAGTGAGAGGCTCGCGTACCACAAAAAAAAGAGAGAACAAATTGATCTTAAAAAGTAATTATCTATAGTTTTGTAAACGTCATATTTCATTTTCCCCAAAACTTAGGAAGTAGCAAAATAGGTCAAAGGATGATGAAAGCATTACCCAAACAAGGCTCAAATTTTTGGTTCAATAATTTTCCAAGAGCTTTTGTTTCTTACCTGTACACAGTATGAGGGACATACACTTCTCGGATTGGAAATTCCAAAATCTCTTTGTGTGGGCGTCCCCGGTTTTCAGGAAAGGGTCTCACTGGCAGCATTTCAGGAGTCAGACAGCAACTGGTCATCTCTGGAGCCAGAGAAATCTCCAGTTTGAGCAAGCCTAAAGAAAGAAAATAGGACTGTCTTAGTAAAGACGTTATATATGAGGGAGTCAAGAAAGACTGCTGTACTATATTTCTTTTATGGAAATGAGGATAAGTTGTGTGAGTATAAGCACTTTGGAATACCCAGTTAATTTCCCATAGTTTGAGAAAAAGCATATCATGACAATTTTTGAGATTTAGTTTCTAGAACTTAAAAAGCAAGAAACTGTAAAATGAGTTAAGAACACATTAGAGGATCTTTAAAGTCCCTTCCAGAACTACCACACCATAAGTATATAGTTCAGTAACTTCTCTCATTACAAGCACTAAAAATTGGTGGTTTTCAAACTAGGTTCCCTGGTACCCCAGGGGGCTGCAGAAGTGCCTCAGGGGCTGTTAAGCTGAGGATAAGGAGGGTGCGCCCTCACCTTCTACCAAAGCATTGCACCTTCACTTTTTCTCATGTTAAGAGTTCCATACAATATGATATAAGAGGCTCCTCTCTTCAAACAATTATCTGATTTTCTGAGTGAGCAATCAAATACAAAGCATGATGTTTATTTCCAGAATCAGTCCTTTAATAAAAATAGAACACATTAATGGGTTGGCCAAAAAAACCCAGACCTTAACTCCTAATACAAAATCCTACATCTCCCTTGACAAAAAATTGCAGCGTTACATGAATAATTGTCTAATCATAAATGGCTTTGGCACAACAAAGAGGACAAAGACAAGCCATCCACACCTGGAACTGACTTGACTCTTCTCTGTAGGGATGAAGATCTTTTGTAGTCAGCTAAAAACTTGAATAAGTCTTCATCACTAAGGCGATCTCCCTCCTGCCAAGAGAGAAGTCAGGGTTAGTGTAGATTCACCATACACTCCTGGGGTCGGGACCAAAGATTGATTTCTCAGAAGATTTTTATGCCTTTCGTAGATACAAGGCAACAACTCTGAAATCTTTTAGTCCACCTCTTGTCAAATATTCTTCCTCTACCGCTCTGACTCTCTCAGCCTCTTCAACTCTCCTGGAGATGGGGATTTTACTGCCTTCCTGAGGAAGGCTGTTTGACCATTAGTAATCCAGGCCAAAAGGTCCTCCCCCTATAACTTAAACCCACTGATACTTGTTTACTCCCTGAAACAAAACAGAAGAAAAGTTTTCTTCAAAGATTTGAAGATGGAGAAAGCAGCTTTCCATCTTTGTCCTGTCCTCATATTCTTCACATTTGTCTTGACTAAGAAGGCTTAAGCACACACACTCCATGCGTGTATGTGGGACAGGCATGCTGCTGAGGGATACGTGTGCATGAGCTCTGATCCTTACAGCAGCCCAGTAAGGAAGGTAGGTAGGTAGGTAGGTAGATAGGTGTGTCCTATTCCTAAGTACAGATGAGAAAACTTCCGCTTGTTTAGTCAAGGGCCTGGCTCCCCAAGGCAATACAGTTGGAAGGAGTTATTTCCCAAATAGAAACCCTTTCAGTCCCCTGCCATCTCCATCATGAGGCATGGCACACAGAACCCTTAGGATCTCTTCTGCATTTCAGTTTGTTAACATAACCCCTTGACATGCCCCATGAGAACTGCTTGAGCTGCAGAAAATTTTCCAAAACAGAGTCAAACCAAGTATAAGTCAAGTTGGTTTTTTTGGTAGTAAAACACATATCACGTAAAATTTACCATCTTAACCATTTTTGAGTATACAGTTCAGTAGTGTTAAGTACATTCACTTTGTTGGGCAAACGATCTCCAGAATGCTTTCAGTTTGCAAAACTGAAACTCCATACCCATGAAACAACTCCCCATTCCCCCCTTCCTGCAGCCCCTAGCCACCACCATTCTACTTTCTGTCATTCCACCTTCTGTCTCTATGAATTTGATTACGCTAGGAAATTCTTCATTCTCTAAGTAGTCTCAATGATTTCTGAGCTAATAAAGAGCACTGTCTGTAACTGTCACACCCTGTGAGGAAGTAGGCAGCTCTGGAAAGCCCGCACGTGGAAAAGGGGTGAGATGGACAACACCTAGGCCAAGAAACCCCAGGCCAAAGGGGAAGTGGATATTTTAGCCAGACTGTTTTCATAGCCTAATAAATGAATTGGCCATGACAGTTCAAATAGGAGAGTTTGTGTTAATGGGAACCAGTCCTTCTCTCAATTAAAAGGGCTAACGTTCACTTAGCACTTGTCATATCCCAGGCACTCTGAGAAGAGCTTTACACGTCTCGTGTCATCGAACCCTCCCAAAAGCCACATCAAGCAAGTGTCATGATCCCTGTTTTGTAGATGATGAAACCGAGGCTCGGTGAGGTCGACTAACTTGTTCTCTTAGTCACTACATATACTCCCCCTCTGGGCTCCAGCACTCATGCCATTGTGAGGGGACAAAGCCAGACACACTGTAACAGGAAGAGATACCTGCTTGAAAAAGCTGTTAATGGTCAAGGTCTTGAAGTTGGATCCAACCCCATTTTCCTCCAAGGAGAAGGCTCTTTCAGAAAGTCTTCGAGATTGGGACAAAGTTTTCCGCTCACTCACAGAGCCTTTCCCTTTAAGGAAAACAATTGTCATTCTAAAGTTTGCCTTTCTGTTTGAATATATAGCAGTTATTAACTTTACCGTATGTAGGATAGGTTGAAGCGCACTGAAGGAGAACACTGAACACGGCCATTCTTGTTTTGCATGACAATTTCCCTCCCCGATCCCTGTTCTTAGACCCCCCTGTTGGAGCCCCTAATCCTCCTCTGATCATAGTGAGAGCCCAGGAGCAACCACAGTGCCCTCCCACGTGGCGATCAAGGAGCAAGAGTCCAGAACTACAGCCAGAGCAGGGTCTGGCTAAATAATAAGCTTTATTTAGTCAACAGTGTTTAGTTTTGTTTTATTTTTATATTTACATTCCATTGGGAGAGGCATGTACTCAAATGCCCCTGCAGGCATTTGGGATTCTGGCCCGAACATGCTATGTACAGGTCAGCCTGAGTCCATCCTGGATTTGAGCTTTCTTCTGCTCTTGCTGTGTGGACCAGGCAGCAGAACTGAGTTTCTGCCTTGGCCAACCTGCCTAATGGTAATTAGAACTGAGTCACACCCAAACCTGAACCCTGATACTCTGCTTAGTTATTTCTTACCCCGTTTGAGATTTAGGTGAGGATTTTGTTACTTTTATACTGCAAAGCTCAGGGGTTCTGTAGTGAATGGTCAAATTGCATAGAACTGTGATATTTCAACCCTGTCTTTGAACATTCTCTTACCCTTAATTCTTGTCATAATGCTGAACTGGAACTTCCTGCTACCACTGAACCACCTAAACTTGCCATGCTGCCTCAGTATAATACACGACATCTTTTGGTTGCTTCTTAAAAACCAGCCTCTGTAGTCAGGTTAATTTCTCCTTGACCCAGAGATGACTGAGGACCCAGCAAGCACTATGCCTTAACTACCTAGTTTATGTGTCCTTTAAGCTCTATGCAGAACTCTTTCAAATAAGGCTACCTGGGTCTACATAGAAATTAGCATTAAAAAAACCCCACACACACATATTGTGGTGTGAATGTTGGGATGCACTAAAATGAGATTTTTTTCTTTTTTTGCGGTACGCGGGCCTCTCGCTGTTGCAGCCTCTCCCGTTGCGGAACACAGGCTCCGGACGCGCAGGCTCAGCGGCCATGGCTCACGGGCCCAGCCGCTCCGCGGCACGTGGGATCTTCCCAGATCGGAGCACGAACCCGTGTCCCCTGCGTCGGCAGGCGGACTCTCAACCACTGTGCCACCAGGGAAGCCCTGAGATTTGTTTTTGATAAATCAGCAATAACCCGGGAGTTCTGACTGGTAATTATGCATCAATAACTCCAGGATAGCAGCAGCAATAACAAAATACCTTTTCCTCCACTCCTCTGGTAAAGGCAACATTTCAGAAGTGGCAGAGCTAAGGAATGCATGAAAAACTTCCCAAGAAATGTGACTGGAGACATAAATATTTGCTGGATACAAAGACATTTTAAAAAACAGAAACTCTGCCACAGGTGAGGGGTGATATTCTTGCAAACTCCGTAACCCTCTTGGATAGTTCCATACCCAAACTGTTGAGGGAATTAATAACTCAGATCAAGGGTTAGGTAATGAAAAAGAGAAATACGCTAAATAAATCAGAACAGTAACTAAATATTCTTTTGGCATCCACTTTTTTCATTTGCCCTTGGCAAAATAAACTTTAAGGAACTGGAAATTTTGCTAGAAACCAGAGTTTTTCATTTTGAAGGCCTTGCTTTTCTTATATTTAGGAGCCAACCATGGTGCCTTTGTTGAACACACTACAAACTATATTATTATATTATTATATTTTCTTGTTATTTTCAAGAATTTTACTTTTAAGAAGAGATGGCCACTGAAAATTAACTCTTTAAAGTGTCAAACTGTGCAGAAAATTCCAACCAAAAATCTTACTATATTTAAACTCCACAAAGTTCATTGTAATTGTCTTGGGGATCACTGTCCAATCAAGCATTTGTATTCCAGTCTTAATCATGTTTCATTCTATTCACCTCCTTCTTCCTGCCCACTCCCCCCACCTTACTACAACCCCAACCCCCCACCAATCAGTAGCTAACCTCACAGTTGGTACATTGGGGAGCCCTTCCCTTCACACCACAGTTGAAAAGCTTACCAACCGTGGACTCCACATCAGTTACCTCCCTGTCGAGGGTAGAGACATTGAAGAAACTTGCTAAGCTTATGGGAGCCCAGGCAAAGGGCATCCGGTATTTCCCCAAACGTTGGCAGAAGGATTCAGCTTGAAGTTTTAGTTTTTCAATCTTTTCTTTACTCTAGAGGAAAATGGAAAGAGACAGCAGAAACAAACAATATGGCACAACATCATTCTCAATGGTGAAAAACTGAAAGCATTTCCCCTAAGATCAGGAACAAGACAAGGGTGGCCATTCTCACCACTATTATTCAAGATAGTTTTGGAAGTTTTAGCCATGGCAATCAGAGAAGAAAAAGAAATAAAAGGAATCCAAAGCAGAAAAGAAGAAATAAAACTGTCACTGTTTGCAGACGACATGATTCTATACTTAGAAAATCCTGAAGATGCCACCAGAAAACTACTAGACCTAATCAATGAATCTGGTAAAGTAGCAGGATACAAAATTAATGCACAGAAATCTCTTGCATTCCTATACACTAACAACAAAAAATCAGAAAGAGAAATTAAGGACCCACTCCCATTTACCACTGCAACAAACAGAATAAACCTACCTAAGTAGGCAAAAGACCTGTGCAGAAAACTATAAGACACTGATGAAAGAAATCAGATACAAACAGATGGAGAGATATACCATGTTCTTGGATTGGAAGAATCAACATTGTGAAAATGACTACACTGCCCAAAGCAATCTACAGATTCAATGCAATCCCTATCAAATTACCAATGGCATATTTCACAAAAAAAGTTTACAATTTGTATGGAAACACAAAAGACCCCGAATAGCCAAAGCAATCTTGAGAAAGAAAGAGTTGGAGGAATCAGTCTCCCTGACTTCAGACTATACTACAAAGCTACAGTAATTAAGACACTGTTGTACTGGCACAAAAACAGAAATACAGATCAATGGGACAGGATAGAAAGCCTAGAGATAAACCCACACACATAAAGTCACCTTATCTTTGACAAGGAGGCAAGAATATACAGTGGAGAAAAGATAGCCTCTTCAATAAGTGGTGCTGGGAAAACTGGACAGCTACAAGTAAAAGAATGAAATTAGAACACTTCCTAACACCATACACAAAAATAAACTCCAAGTGGATTAAAGACCTAAATGTAAGGCCAGACACTATAAAACTCTTAGAGGAAAACATAGGCGGAACACTCTATGACATAAATCACAGCAATATGCTTTTTGACCCACCTCCCGGAGTAATGGAAATAAAAACAAAAATAAACAAATGGAACCTAATGAAACTTCAAAGCTTTTGCACAGCAAAGGAGACCATAAACAAGACGAAAAGACAGCCCTCAGAATGGGAGAAAATATTTGAAAATGAAGCAACTGAAAAAGGATTAATCTCCAAAATATACAAAGCAGCTCATGCAGCTCAATATCAAAAAAACGATTCAGTCAAAAAATGGGCAGAAGACCTAAACAGACATTTCTCCAAAGAAGACATACAGATTGCCAACAAACACATGAAAAGATGCTCAACATCACTATTCATTAGAGAAACGCAAATCAAAACCACAATGAAATATCACCTCACACCAGTCAGAAGGGCCATCATCACCAAATCTACAAACAATAAATGCTGGAGAGGGTGTGGAGAAAAGGGAAACCTCCTGCACTGTTGGTGGGAATGAAAATTGATACAACCACTATGGAGAACAGTATGGAGGTTACTTAAAAAACTAAAAATAGAACTACCATATGACCCAACTACTGTGCATATACCCTGAGAGAACCATAATTCAAAAAGATACATGTACCACAATGTTCATTGCGGCGCTCTTTACAATAGCCAGGACATGGAACCAACCTAAGTGTCCATCAACAGATGAATGGATAAAGAAGATGTGGCACATATATTCAATGGAATATTACTTAGCTGTGAAAAGGAACGAAATTGACTTATTTGTAATGAGGTGGATGGACCTAGAGTGTGTCATACAGAGTGAAGTAAGTCAGAAAGAGAAAAACAAATACTGTACGCTCACGCACAAATATGGAATCTAAGAAAACGGTACTGGTGAACCCAGTGGTAGGGCAGGAATAAAGACACAGATGTAGAGAATGGACTTGAGGACATAGGGGGATAGGGGAAGCTGGGACGAAGTGACAGAGTAGCACTGACATATATACACTACCAAATGTAAAATGGATGGCTAGTGGGAAGCTGCTCGTCGCACAGGGAAATCAGCTCAATGCTTTGTGATGACCTAGGGGGTGGGATAGGGAGGGTGGGAGGAGATATGGGGATATATGTATACATATAGCTGATTCATTTTGTTGTACAGCAGAAACTAATACAACATTTTAAAGCAATTATACTCCAATAAAGATATAAAAAAAAACCACAACCAATATGGCACCAGCACCAAGCCAACTGCCTCTGCCATGGATATGACAGCCATCTCCAAAATCCCTACTCTACTGATTAAAAAGAGGGAATAGGCAGAAAAACAACACATCTCAGGCCAGAAGTCCAACTGATAAGGAAGTACAGAATAGAAAAGGAGGAATTTAAAGAATTAAAGAAAGCCTACATTCAGTTATTAAATATACCTTCAGCTAAACAAACAAACAAAACAAGCAAACAAAAAACCCAAAAGTATTGGGGCTTGTTATACTACATAATCAACAAGTACCTCTTTTAGGTGCTAGCTACACTGGATTCGCATGAGAGAATCTTGGGATGAAAAGTTTTGTACATCATCTATCAAGCTCTTAAGTGAGCCTGTTTTTCCACAGTTGTCTTGGAAGATTCCAGAAAGATCTATAAGGGTTCCTAACAATCTCCTTATTAGGTTGACAACACTTCCAAAGTAATCATTCTAAGTTCAGGATAAAAGGTAGATTAAAAAAAGCAAGTTATCTTGAGTTCAATAAATCTTACTTGAAATTTATGAGTCTGCAGTAGGATGCTGTTAGGCAAGTCTTATTCCAAAAAGGCCATGTTTTAAAAATTATGTTGGAAACTTTTGCAAATGGGTGCTGAGAAGAGATGTCCTTTTCATGGCTCAGTACCTATGTTGTACTAATAAATTTATGATGTACAGCAGTCTCAGCTAATGTCCAAATATCCAAATCAGAAAGGGTGGTGGCCCATGCTGTGGAGGAAGCTAGGGGAGCTGTGGCACTGTTCAGTTTCATGGGGTGTCTGTGGCCCTCCCAACCGAGCCCAGGCCTCAGAACCAAGACAACAGGACGCATTTTTGCCCTAGTCAAGTTTTGTAATTAGACATTGGTGTGTACATCATCGTTTGCTGAGTTTAATAGTTTATTTCTTTAAAAAGTTGTCATCGATGAAGTTTCCCTTCCTTATTTTGTTTGAATATAATTTATTAGTGCTTCATATGGGGACACATTATGGACTAAACTCCATTAACTATTTTATGGGAGACTTCTGAAAAATACCTGCTTATTCTAAAATGTTACCATTTAGCAATACTCAAAATAGCATACCTTTCCACCATCACTTTCTTTGATAACCATGTAGGGTTCTGCACAGTCTCCAATCTCTCCCTGCTGAAGGACTTTTTCAATCTACCAACAAAAATAATATTAAAACAAAGCACGTGAATTACATTTGTATAATGGAATCTATGCAACCATCAAAATAGTGTCTTATGACAATATTTGATGACATCAGATGTCCATAATATATGTTTTTTGATTTAAAAAATTAGTACGAAGAGTATTACACAGTTTTGTAAAAAAAATCATAAAGGCATATTAAAAGGACGATAGATACACGGCAAATGTTAATAGTAGTTATCTTTGTATGGTGGGATTATGTACTGTCTTTATTTTCTTCCTATTGCTTACGTGTATTTTCTGTTTTTAAATAATAAACATGTATTATGCCTACAATAAAAAATACAATAAAAGTTATTTTTTAATACAAAACCCACAAGACATATGTAGGATGTTAATAGCTCATTTTGTTTATTATTGCTTACAACGTAAAAAAAGAGATACGACCTCTGTGAAAGTCAGGTTGGGGACTAAAACCTTCCACAAAATGAATAAATGAACAGAATAAATTATCTGTAATTGTCTCCCTTGTATTTCCTATTAGGGCTGCTTCTCTGGATTTAACAGACTTGGAAAGGAACTTGAAAGCAGTAGGATGGTACAGCTTTTCACTTTGCTAACTGGCTGGTAATATGAATTACTACTGTCAAGCATCGTCTTCCATCTTGCTGCAAGTGAAGGACCTGGCTGGCCATAAATCTAGGCACCATGTTTAAGAGAAAAAAAAGCAGAAATTTAAAATTGTCTAACCCTCTGCTCAAAGAAAATTTAATTTAACTTATATGTGGAAGAGAAAAACAAATGGATTTAGTCCCATTAGTCTGTGTTAGTAGTTGAGATAATCCTTGAAGAAGAAGTTTGGGTCAACATATCCTAAAAGGCACACATTCTTAACAGGCACTGTCAATTAGGCACCAAGTATTTAACCAGAAATACCCAAGTGGTGGAGGGTGATTCATGGAGTTTCAAAGGAAATGGCATGGGGCTGCTCAACGAACATCTGTCTCAAGAAGACTGCAAGCATTAAGTCTCTCGTCTCACAGAGGAACTTAAAAACCCCTTCCCACTGCCATAGCCTGAAGATGAGGCTGATCCTCCTGAGAGATGCACCAGGTTGAGGCCATGGACACGTAACACTCGAGGTAGAAACTAACCCATTTTCCTGTTAGTCAGCGATCATTCACCTATTCATTTGTTTAGAAAACATTTGTTGAGTCCTTTCTGTAGGGTAGCTGTTGGGGAGACAAGGTGGTGAACATGACAGGCCTGGTCCCTATCCTCCTGAAATTGATGGTCGGGAGTTTATACAGCAAATTGGAAAGAAGCTAATTTTTCCATGAGGTCAGTGGACAGAAGTGTGGTCTTTAAAATGAACTTTGAACCGAGATAAAGAACCTTCTCATTAGAATCCTGAAGCGAAGAATGGGAATGCCATGACTTTGCATCTAGAGCATGGAACCCACAGGAGAGGGATCTCCAGAATTTGGAAGGAGGATCCAGATTCGACCAGATGAGCAGATACGATTCCCTTCACCGAGTTGGACAAGGCTAACTTCAGGTACTTTGCGAGAAGGAGCTGCCGGCTGCTATGAGAGCCTACTATGTGGTCCTTCAGCACTGATACGTAAAAGAAACGCCTGAGTCCTCGTAACCATGGCAGGCAGGGGAAAGGGGCATAACAGAATTGCCTGGGAATTTCTTTAAGGTAAAGAGGCTACCCTCAGCCCTATTTAGAGGGAAAGAAGCAACAACTGTGGTATTACAATAAAGAAAAACAAATCAGAGGCAAACCAGGGACTGTCTTACTGAGTAGATTTAAATTTCTTAACTCTATCCAGACAATTTAGAGAATCTTTATCACTGCCAAATGAATGCATTTATACATCTGAAAATTTTGGAATATACTTAGTAATAGTCACCCATAGGTAACCACTGATATTTAGCAGACTACCATGGGTTACCCAAAATAAAGTCATCCACTGAGAACTGGAATTGGAAATAAAATTTGGATCTATGGAACTGGTATTGACTTCTTTGATTTCCCAGGCTGGAGTGAATTTTAAAAGTAACTGCAGGCTGCTACAGTTTGCTAGAGTGGACTTTAAGCTAATTTTCCTGTATGTCTAAGTAATGTTGCAATGAAAAGGACACACATTAAGTTTGACAACAAGAGATGTGTCTTTTTAGCAATAGAATTTTAACTCTGTTTTCCAGAAACTTCAACAAGTTCCCTTCAAGCTATAATGACCTTTCAGAATTTTTGTAAAACGGTGTAAAGGGAGCTAGAATGGAAGGACATCTGCCTCTTGTTAAGTGACCTCCACATCACCTGAAGTTTTTGGAACCTGTATGCTACTCTCATGGGATCATGGGGGAATCAATGAGATTATGGACATAAAACACTGTGCTAACTACAAAATGTCCCAATCCTAGAATGCTGGGTGTACATGAAATGAAAACAACAGGACTTTTTTTTAATTTGAGGGTAAAGAGTCAATGAGACTAATTATTTGGCTTAAAGTAGATAAAATACTCAATGTTTGCTGTTAACTTCTAACCAGCCATTTTGGTGTGTAGAGAAAGTCTCTGGTTTTCTTACATCAGCAAAGAGTACAATCTAGAATGAAAGGTCTTTCCACTCAGAACTGCCCACAGATTTTGGCTCTCACTAGACATACTCAGTCTGTGAGATGGCGATGAATAAGGGCGAGTGAAGCTTGGACACTATAACCCACACCTCAAACTGTCAGAGCCTGGATTTTTGGACATTTAACTCTGGGTCTTTAGAAAAATGTGAACATGATTAGGAGACTCTACCTGAGATTTTTCTCCACAGCAGCCTCCCAGAGCTGGATAGCTGAGGGTGTTTTCCTTGTTAGAAGGAAGGGTGTGTATACATGCCAGACTTTATTCTGTAATCACAACTACTCACTGAGGGAGGTGTTATTATCTCCACTTTACAGATGAAGAAACTAAGTCTCAGAAAGGTCAGGTAATTGCCCAAAGTCATATAGCTACTAAGTTGCAAAGCCAGGACTCAAACCTAGGACCGTTTGACTCCAAAACCCATCGTCTTTCTAGTACCCAACACAATTTGCTCGTAAAGGAAAAGGAGTAAAGTTGAGAGGGAAACAAAGCGAATCTCACAGAGGACATGTAATATTTTCTGATACCTCTTTCACTCTAAACATGCACTGGGAGTAATGCAACAATGAGAACATCAGACTGTGCCAATCAGATTGTGCTGAGCTACCTTGACTACTAGGTAGATGTCCGAGGATGGATAGGTGACTGAGAATACCGCAGATCTTGCCTGACTGGACGTGGCAACAGAGGGCGTGTGAGCACGCAGAAATCCTTTGAATTGGTCAGAGTTCAGGTCACAGTGAAAATTTTCTGAGATCTGTAAATGAGTGGCAAAATGAAAAATGAGTTATACCTATTGTTCTCATGGTCTAAACATGTTAAAAAAAAAAAAGTGGAAAAGAAAAACCCACCAGGTTTCACCAAACAAATAAGTATAACCGTAGACATGGTTTATGACTAGCAGCTGCTGGAAAATCTGATACGTATTTTGCCACAGTCTCTAGATATTTCTGAGTCATTTGAGAGATGTTCTTTGAAACATTAAAATTTGTATCAACCCACCAGTATCTCCTGAATTTCAGTGATGTGCTAGGTACTGCATTGAAGAAAAGCAAGGCATTACTTTGGCTCTCAATTAGTTTACAATCGAGAATGAGGGAAAAGGCCAATGCATACTAACTACAGTAAGAGCAAAATATAAGTGACCACACTCCTACAAAAAACCGCTGTGGAAGTTCCCGAGGGTGAGAGGTCACATCCAGTTGGGGGGGATGGGGAATGCTTTCCATGGGGGAGGCATGTGAGATGGACAGGCCTTGGAAGAAGGTTCCGCCAAGCAGAGCTGGAGGGGGACTGTGTACCAGGGAGAGAGTGCAGCACAGATATCTCGGAGGCTAACACGGGGAGTGACTTTAGTTAACATCAAGGAGCCTGGCTTGACTCTGCCTAGGCTCTCGAGGGAAAGAAAGCAGATGAGAGCCATCCTGAAGAAAGCCGGGCATGGAAGCTGAAGCGTTTGCTTTCGATGTTGCGGGTAGTGAGTATCCATTACAGATTTCGAGCAACAGCATGTCACGATGAAGGCTCCTGAGCTCAGCGGTGAGGCGTTACTTAAGAACCACTGTAGAGTTGGGTTTCCCCTTCACCACTAATAGATTTACAGCCAAGAAGTGGCTCCCGGGCAGAGACTACACTTACCAGCCTCCCCTGCAGGGTTAGGAGTGAGCACGTGACTAGATTCTTTCCAGTGAATTGTGAGCACAAGTGACGATGTGTCTAACTTCCAGGCTCCAACACCACCCCACACCCCCACCATCTTTCCCCCTTTTTCCGGGGGCCGTAGCGGCAGTGACAAGAGTGACTGGGGAGGGCACATACTGAAGATGTGTGGAGGAGACACTGCCACTTGGGTTCCCGAATGCCTGAGTGGAGGAGGCCACTGTTGACCCTGCACCTCCCTACTCTGGATTGTTAAGAGACAAAGGCAGAAAATTCTCCTTCTTCTAGCCAAGGGTTCTCCATATGTGGCCCCCTGACCAGCAGCTTCAGCATCACCTGGGGACCTGTTCGAAATGCAAATTCTTAGGCCCCATCCAGATTTACTGAATCAGAAACTCTGGGGGTGGGCCCACCATCTCTTTTAATAAGCCCTCCGGTGATTCTGCCTGTGCAAATCTGAGCTTTAAGCCACTGTAAACCATTTAAACCACTTAAACCATTAAACCATTCAGCTTTAAACCACTGAATGTGTGTGGGGGAGGTCTCCTTGTTTTAGCAGTTTACCTGCCCAGACCAATACAAATCTTAGTGATCATTAATATTTATTCAAAATATACACACTTCCTTAGCTACTGAATGGTTATGGGTAGAGGGGCAGAAACGTCTCCTCTGGTTTTGCTATTTGTGCCCTCCTCTAGGAGTTACAAAACGACAAAACATGAAGACATTCATGGAGAAATCTTTTCAATTAAAAGCACAATATACTTGGTGAGGTCTCTACCTGATGGCAAATTTAGACTTTCATTGCACAAGATGTCTTCCATTCATGATAAGCCTGTCTCACAATGCAAAAAACTCCCCAACTGAGGAAACATTACATGCACTGGGCTTGTTATAGCCATGTTTACATTGCTTTGTTTTATGTGTAACCCCATATGTCACTATTTCACTTCTCTATCTCAGCCAGGCTACCACCTCCAGCTGACTTTCTCGTAAAGGTTCTTCAAAGAACATAAATTCCCAGGTCACTTCTTTAAAAACTGCAAAGGCAACAGAACTGGACATATCAAAGGTCATTTGCTTTCAAATCTGATGTGGTTTTCCTACATAGAAGTGAGATTTAAAAACATGAACCCCAAGACAACGAACAACATGCAATGCCCTCAGGGTTGGGCTATTTTTTGCTGTCTTACCTTTTTCCTTTCTTTAACATCGTAGAGGGCAATGCTGGCAAACAGAGGCTCAATTTCAATCTCAAACCTGTCAGAGAAAGAGAGAAAAACATATAGTTTTAACTTAGATAATTCTGAATTTTCTGAAAGTGCCTGGATATATAATCTGGTTAAAAATGTAAGTTGTTTTCAGAAGTATTTGGGTAGCTCTATGCATGTGAGAATCACACTGGAATGTTAATGGAGAAATATGGGAGGTTCATGGAAAATTCCTAATCATTTGAGATCATGGTGGATGGTACGTTCTCCCCAAAAGTGCTTGCTGGTGACCCTGCAACAGAGAGCGGGTGGAACAGATCCTTGGTCTGATCCAGTACGGCGCTTCTTACCACTGTAGCTGCTGTGTTCTCAGAGGATTGAGTCTCTGTCTTAGCTAAAGGTCTTGTTTACAGTTTACAGATTACTGCTAGACTAGAAAGCTCTATTATTCAATTTTAAGGGCTGGGGCTTTTCAGCTAGTACCAAAAAAAAAAGTTCAGTTGCTTTTCTTTAGGTTAGGTTATGATGTGTGTGAATATCTGGCCCTTCCTAACTCCACTGCCAGGGTAGCTGCTGACCTCAGGTGGAGGGAGGGGATTGAGCACTGCTGATAAACACTGAGGTGTGTGGATCCAATGAGAGCTGGAAACACGGCCCTAATTGCCAATTCCCCCAGAAATGGTGGGTTTGAAGAGAGGGCATCCCCAAAGCGTAATCCTGCCACACGTTATAGGATGCACATGGAGCAGAGATGTTCACCTTCCAAATTTCCCAGGTTAACGATCCATGATCCTGCCGCTAAGAGCCCTAGTAATCAGGCCCTGGATCACCGTTATGGCAGAAGTCAGGTAAATTAGGTCAAATTTTGTTTCAAGGCATATGTGAGAGGATGGCCTTATCACTGGATAGCTTTGTCTAAAAAGAGGACTTTTGAAGAAGAATATTTGGGCAGAGGTAACCACAGACAAGAGTGAGTCGGTCAAATGGCACTTTTGGAAATGAGGCAGTAAGGCATGATGGCAAAGGAGGGCACTGAGTCAGACAGACCTGGGCTCTGTTCCCTCTCCCACTGCCTGCTAACTCTGGGATCTTAATCAGGTTACTTACTCTTCCCAGTTGCATTTATTTATCTGTAACATGATCAAAGGACATCTGCTCTTCCCATTTCCTAGGACTGTTGTAAGCATTGTGAAAGATAATGTGTGTGAATATGCTTTATAAACAATGTCAAGGAACACCATTATCCACAGTAGCCAAAAGGTGGAAGCGAACTCAGGTGTCCATCAAGGGATGAATGGATCAACAGAATGTGGTATAGGCATACAATGGCATATTATTCAGTCTTGAAAAGAAAGGAAATTCTGACACATCCTACCATATGGAAAAATGCTGAAGACACTGTATAAGTGAAATAAACCAGTCACAAAAGGACATGCGTTATATAATTCCACTTTTATGATGGAATGGTGGGAGAGAGAAATGGGAATTATTGTTTAGTGGGTACAAAATTCCAATTTGGGAAGGTGAAAAGAGTTCTGGAGATGGATGGTGGTGATAGGTGTACACCAGTGTGAATGCACTTAATGCCACTGAAACACCACTCAAAATGGTTGTGATGGCAAATTTTACATTATGCATATTTCACCACAAATAAAATTTAACATTATCATTAAATTTTTACTGTTCATATTTAAACATTCTAGGTTTACCTATAAGAACTTGCTTTCTTTTATCCAGTTTATTTAAAGTAGTGAAAGACAGGATGATCTCTTTGGTTCATCTCCCCTATTGCAGGCATATGTTGGTATGAATACTATTTAAGATACTGGTGGAGTAGGTCAAGTATACGTTGAGCAAACACTGCGATTCTACTTAATTTCTGCTTTGGCAGTTTGGGGGAAAAATAACTAGAAACTACACTTCTCAATTTTCATCAAGAGAAACCCAAGTGACTCAATTTGTTTTTTTAATAATATTACATGACTATCTTAGTGACCATGTGTTCCCACCTGTGAGAAGAGCTACCATTTATTTATGGAAAACATCTAGGAGACTTAGTGTCATGCATCACAGGGAAGAATTCCTCCAATCCCAAAGGGCATAGTTGCTGTGTTGGATGAGCTTCCTGTGGTGGGTGGGTGAGTGCCTCAGACAATAGGGTGGACTTCCTGAACAATGAAGGCAGAGGGGGACCGATCAGCCACTTCCACTCAGTCCTCCTGCTGAAGGGCTAGGAGGTTTCCCCTTCCGGGTCAGCTCGCAAGGGCTAGAGTTTGCCTTTCTGTACCCGTTGCTTGATACAGAGCTCATTTATTGGCCGCTCATCTCCGTGTACAAGACAAAATGTCCGAACTCCTCCCCCCATCCTACTGGTAAAACTGGCTTAAGGAGGGTGTTACAACATCAAGAGATCTCCACACCTGTGTAAGCAGTCATGCTGGCTTGTGTTCTGAGCAGAGAATTCGGGAGGCTCCGCAACAGAACCAGAAATTTCTGGCACATAGGAACTTTGAGATCTGGTCTCACTACTTCATTTACAAGAACTCAAAATCCCAGAGACGTCCCCAGGGCTGAAACATAGTCCTGAATCCAGAATCCAAAGGCTCTAATTGCAAACCAGGTGCTGCCTAAGGGGTCCATGAATTGACGTCAAGAGATGGATGACCTTCCTAATAGGGTATTTAAAAATGTTATGCTTATGAACTTTTGCCTTGGTAGAGCATTCACAACTTAATATCTTCAAAAGAGCCTAGGAAGAAGCGGAAGAACTAATTCTCTAAAGCAGCAGTCTGCAAAGAGGAAAGGGAGGCAGGCAGGCACTCCAGGGGGTAGGCAAGACAACCCACTGGCATGCAGGAAGAAAATACTATCATTTATTTTTATTTATTGAGTGCATCCTTCAAAATGCCTCATTTATGTATGTTTTATAATATATATAATATTTAATAAACAAGTACAAAATGAATACACACATGCAGAGGATGTGTGACTTCTAAATACAATCAAAAAATATGGAAACAATTGCTTTAAAGCAAATGCGGCCCATGAGATGAATCCAGATTTCAGACATGTTCTTTTGGAAATGTGTGGTACTTAAGAAGGAAATGAGAAAATAGTTAAGAAGTCAGGAAATTATGCAGAAAAATCTGGATTTCTAGCTTCTCTTAAAAAAAAAATCAGACAATTGACCAAAATGGGCTTGTTTACTTGGATGGCAAGAATTGGCCCTAGCTAGTACTGGGTGCCCTGTTGAGATAGTTTGCTGCAGTCCCCACTACTCTATATTGTCCACTGGCACTGAGACTGAATTTTAGTTGCATTTTTCGTTGTGTTTTAACAGTGGTGTGCTGGTAAATGTTTAACAAACAAGCCTCTAAAAAAAAAAAAAAGGCTCTAATTTGTAGCATTTTCTGAGTTCAGTGTTGTAAATATTTCCACCATTTCACCATGGCCAATTTCAAGCTACTAACGTGACTTCACTGAATAAAGAGTTGGGAAGAGAAGTATGCAATCAACTCTCAGGAGTTAGAGCGGACTCCAGCACGCCAGTGGCTTTTACTGTTATTTTTCTTAATGTAGGCCACTTCACTCAATTAATTACCTACGTGCCTAACCTTAGTGTTTTGCCTTCCCTGTCATAGAAGAATGACTGTCAAAGGCTTGGCAGGATTAGAATCTGGGACTAGCTGACTTCAAACTCTGCTCTTTCTACTACCTCACAGGGCACTGTTAAAAGTGTGTTGGGGGTCCTCCCCAATTCAAGCTCTGAGGGTAAAGACACAGTCTGTATTTGAAAGGCAAGACAGATCTCAATGTAGTGATTAGTGTCTGCTCATACTTACTTCAGGGTCAGCAACTTGACCAATATTCTGTTGCCCAGATGTTCCTTAGGACAGTCTGGTACCGGACGTATTTCCACAGCATCCTCCTATTGTTAATCACATTGTAAAAGAAATCAGTAGTGAATTCCCATGAAGAGTTCCAGTTGAAGTTAACTCGGGGAAGGGAAGGCTGCTAGCCACCATGCAAGACAGCTTGCATTTGCTTTATTTCTAATTGCAGAATAACACATTGACTTTTACAAGACAGTTTATTATCCAACCCTTGTGCTTCAAAGTCAGCATTTACAGCCAACATTTTCTCCTTTCAGAAAGCCAAGCATTTAAGACAAAGAGACCGAGGGAGGAAGGAAGGAAATGTGAACATGGATATGGCTTAGTAACATCCACCAGATGGCAATGCAAAATCTTACACCTATTGTTGACTTTTTTTTTTGGCCGGTTCTAAGGACACAGAATATTTCTCCTGCCAAAGGCTTTACTAGTAAATATGTGAGTTTCAGATTTGAGATCTGAGTCAGAACAGTTCACCTGAGGCTATAAACCATTAAAACTATAATACAGTGTCTTTCTCGGTTTACTGTTTTCTTAAACAGATGACAGAGATTTGGGGTTGAATTTGTAGGTTCTAAATAAACGTGTCCAGCTAGAACTTGCTAAAGTTCTAAGTATAGAGAAGCTTAGTAATGACAAATTTAAGAAATACGTCTGTCTATTTTACTACATAGGGACCAAGGGACTTAAAGGGAAGTATCAAGTTCCTGTTGTAACTTTTAACATTCAAATGTGAACTATCACAGTATCTTAAGTATAGTCATGCATGCAAAGATCAACAGTGCCAGTTTCCCTGAGAACTTTAATTCTTGCTCTTGTAGTAAGCTATACAAACTCTGATGAGTGGTCTGCAGCTCACAAGGGTACAACGAATAGAGCCATGTCTAATTGTATTTTCCTGGGCTATAAATGATATCCCAAATACCCCACAACAACCAGAAGAATTTTAAAATTCTGTTCTGATGCCTACACTGAGCTGAAGTTGAGAGACTTCAGCTCAGTGTAGGCATCAGAACAGAATTTTCAGGGTGATCAGAACAGACACATCTGAAAGGGAAGGGGCCCCTTGTTGGAAAACAACCTCACCGTAAAGACATTCCTGGGTTTCCAAGACTCCCTTTGGTCTGGATTCAGAACTTTGGGATCCTTTTTAAAAAGCTTTTCACTTGGAAAATTGTAAACATATACAAAGCTAGAGAGAAGAACGTAACAAACCACATTTACCTATCACCTAGCTTTAACAACTTCGACTCATGGGCAACTTGGTTTCATCTATACTCCCTCTTACTACCTTACTACCCCATTCGGTGTTGGAAGCTTAGAAGCAAGGCCCCACCTATCATATATTTTCATCTGTGAATATTTCAGTACAGATCTCTCAAAGATAAGGACTTTTTAAAAACACGTACCATAATACTATTATTACTTTTTAAAAATTAAAAATAATTTCCTATTGTCACGAAATACGTAGTCAGTTCCAAACTTCCCCAGCTGTCTCAGTTTTTTTTTTACAGTTAGTTTGTTAATTCAGGTTCCAAACAAAGTCTACATATTCATATGTTTCCTAACTCTAATCTATATGAATTTCTTGCACCTTTACGGTTATCTGAAATGAGAATGAATTGCCAATAAAGCAGAAGAGGAAATGTGAAGTTGTACTGGATACCCGTCGTTTTCCTCTTCCTGGGAGGAAACAGATAGATATTTACAACGAGAGAGAGAGAAAGAGAGAGAGGGAGAAAGGCAGAGAGAGAGAGAGAGAGAGAGATCGTAAGAGAGAAAGGGATAATGTGAGAGATGTTGCTCTTCCATCAGCTGACCCAAGGATCCTGAGGCCAACTCTACATCTGCCTACTTGTGATTTCATTATGTGAGCCAATAAGTCCCTACCTTTTTTCCAAAATTGGTTTTTACTTGGGTCCCATTACTTGCAACCAAAAGAGTCCAATGCAAACTCCTCTACGATTTGGAGTATAGTGGCACCCTTCTTATTGATCAACACATAGGATGCCTTTTACAGAATCAGAGTGAATCAGGGAAAAAACTCACCGCATAGAAGCTTGGTGGTTGAATTCTACTTTTGCCTCCCCTGTATACTCAGTCATAATTTGGATGTAAGAGTTCACCTCTCTTCCAACTTTGTTTCATCGGGAAATAAAGTAATAATAATATAAAATAATTTCACTAATGTGGTGTCAAAAAATTCAGCACTTGTAATCATTTCATGGTAGGCCAGAAAGTTACCCTTTTTTTTACAGGACTTTCTCTGGAGAAAGTACAAGTTACAAGAACAGATGCAATTTCTGTGTGTACAACTCCAACACATTAAAGGGCTGGTAGAGAAGCCCTCTAACATTTTAGACTTAGCGATTTCCAAATAACCTATACACAATCACAAAGCATTCCTCTCCACTTAGTATGGCAGGCCCCATTAGGACATCTGCTAGATCATAACTTTTAGTCTCAATTGAGTTTCTGCATTGTTTAAAGACCATAAAACAAAATTCCTTCAAAATAGTCTATGATTCATCCTTGTAATCAAGCCTGGATATCCTCCCATTTAATCTCATGAAGGAGACTTTAATGAGCTGATGTCTCACTGGAAGTCTTCTCCTCACCCTTTAACTGTTTTCTCTCTACTGGTGTCCATTTGGGATCTTTATTACCTTTTGGCACCTCCATCATGGAATTGGGAGGAAGAAGAATGCAAGTGAAGGTCATATCAGTCAGATATAACATTTCTTGACAAATTTGGTAAGAAGTTTTAAAGCTGTAGATGGAAACTGAAAAGTTACAAGATGTGATTGTTTATGTCATCTTTGGATTTCCATTAGGTGTGCTAATATACCAGGTAGCCATATATAGATAAACAAACAGTTAAACATAAAATTTGGAGTTAATGGGTTTGGATTCCCCATTCTATGATTCAATTTACCTGCTGTATCTTGAACAAGTTATTTAACCTCTCTGATTCTTACTTTGTAATCTGAATATGGAGATGATAACACTGCCCACATAATTCATATTTATTTTTAATCTGCCTCATTCAGAAGAGGCTTCGAGGCCCCTGACAATTAAAAAAAAGGATTTGAGGCCACTGCAAATAAAATAAATAGACGAGAAAACCAAGGTGGTTGGAAAATAAGGATGAGAAAAAAAGAAAGCTGAAGTAAATTCAGGACACCAATAAGTAAGCCACCAGATTTAGTAGAGGTGAACAGAAATTTGACTCCAGGTAACGAATTCTGTGGAGCTGATTACAAGATGTGACAATCTCTAAGCATACACGTTTTCTCAGTGGGAGCATAATTCTTCTTTGTCTGAAGGCTTGAGGGACCATTTTTTTTAGATCCTCTTTGAGGCAGGTGCTGTATGATGAGTAGGTCAATATCCTCAATAATATTTGCACAGTGGACATATCATATCAAATAGCTGCTGTTTCCCTTATTGTCTTTTTTTGCTGACCACTAGTAAGCTCATCGAAGGGCAGATAAGCAAACAGTTCACAGGGGTGGGGGAGTCACAAGGTGTGAGAATGAGGCTCCCTGATGGTTTTGATTGATCCTAAGATCTCATTTCAAATACACAGAGGCATGGAAGGATGGCATATCTTTTATGCAAAATTTCCCTAAATCTTATTTCTTGCAACTCAGCTTTTAATAAAATTTGGACAGCAAAGATATATTGTGGTAATCCGTTTCTGGCAAGACGCAGAAATGAAGATATTCTGACATGCAGAACGGGAGACTATGAGCCTCTTATAAAGGAGCCTGAACGGGCCTGAATAACGGTCATCTGCCATCCCATCCAAAGTGCCCCCAGGAGCGACCACAGGCAAAGCCTAAATCGAGTTGTTTCAGGTCAGCTCCACTATATAGAGTAGACAATCAAGATCCGGGTGTTCTATGCACTGGGAACACGGCTATGATTATTTTCGACTGGAATGTTTTCAAAGCAGGTCTCTCTGGTTGTTCACAGAGACCATCCAACAAAAACCAGAAAATCTTAACAAAGCACTAACGAGCATCAAGGATTAAGTAATACATGTATTGATAGATTAGCCGCAAAACACACCTTCAAGTAACTCAATGGTTTGACTGGCTGAGTGGGCTGACTGCATGTAGACCCTTGGAATGTTTTGAGGATTAAATGAGACAGTATCAGTGAAAGTGTTTTGTAAAGCGCTATGAAAATCCTAGTTGTTATTAAGGAACCTCGTCTGTATGATTGATCAATGATTTGCTGTGCTGTTACACAGGCTTGCCTTAGTGAAAAGAACAGCCCAGAAATCACAGAAGTAAGCATCCTGACATAACTATACAGTAATGACAAACAATAATATTTTCCTGGAGGCTCCCTGTGTCTTCACTGAAATTCTCCAGCATAAAGATGGTCACACCCACCTCATCCACTGACGGGTAAAGGGCAAAGAGCTCGGCCTGCCGATTGGTCCTCCGGGCCTCCTCATTCTGCTTCTCAAAGTCCTCGGCACTCACTTGTTGCACGAGGTTTTTCAGCCGCAAATCAGGCTGCAGGCTGCGGAGGTCAAAGTCACAGGCAGTGATGGGGCCTTTCCCAGATACATCGCACAGCACGTTCAAGTGGCAGGGGCCTGCCTGTGAAAAAAGACGTGTCTTGGTGAGAGAGATCGTGGGTCTAAAATGAGAACTAAAGGGTCTGGAATGTCTCAAGACTGCTCCAATGTGAGATTGCAGAGTTGGACCTCAAAGAATTTCTGACAAGAATCACATCATAGCTTCCTGGACTGGGTATCCTAAAATTAAATGTATCCTTCCTGCCTGAAAGCAGGTAATTAACTCATCAGATGTAGATACACCTGTTCTTGAGGAAAAGTTTGAAAACAGTTCTGTATTGCTGTTAGTTTGGGGCATGTTCTTTTCTGGAGATTGGGAGCCAAACCTCTTATGAACCCTACTCATGTCTTGTGCTCAACCAGAACAGAACTGGAATAAGGTGTTTAAAAAAAGCAAAGACTGGCCTGGGGAATAAAGGGACCTCATCCTAATCCCAACTCCAGAGCTTGGCTTTCGAAACTGGAAAATGAAACTAACTGTGAGAAGCCTTCCAAATTAAATTTTATATAAACTCCAAAGCTGAATAGTATGTTTCCAAAGACAGAGATGTGGGCATGGGAACACTTTCCTACAGGACTGTAGTAACAGTTACAGGAATAAACACCAGGAAAAAAAAAAAAACGAGTGTTTGCTATTCCAGCAGTATTCACTCAGCTGCAGTGTGTTTGAAAAAAACTGTCTTATTTCAGTCACAAAGTGGCCACTTCATTCCACTATAAATGTCCTGGAAATTGGGAAATGGATACCTAACTACAGACTTGGCAAAAAACATACAATCATAATCAAGAATATGTTGTAAGAATAATAGATGGATCTGTTATAAACACCTGTAAAATTTACAGTAAAATGTTATTCTCAAAGTACTATTACATGGACATACTACTGTACAATATCTCCATAATACATATTTTTGGTGACATCTGTCTACCTCATAAAAGTGTTACTCTCCTAGATCGTAAATTTTATCTAAACTGAATGTGTTAACAATAATCAATGGTAATACTTTAATTATTAATACTTTTGTTCATCTCAAAATTTGTAAGATGCTTGGGAAACTGAATTGGATTTCCCAACACTCTTTAAAAGGATGTAAAGATGTAGACAGAGAGATAGATAGATAGCTACTGATGCCTTTATCTATCTTCAGAATTTATTCTAAGGCCACAACTGGACAAGTGAGCAAAGATGTGAGGACAAGAGTATGTCTGGAACTCTGTAATAACAAAATAATAGAAACAACCTAAATGCCCCCCTCAAAAAGAAACTTTTCAGGTTAAGAGATCTTGGAACTCTCATACAGTGGAACATTAGGCAGCCGTTAAAAAACAGAAAAATGTGCTGCCATTGGAAGAGAAAGATGATCATAGTATATTGTCTTGTTAATAAAAAAGGAAATTATACAATATTGTATATAATTTTTATGAAATATTATGTGTATCATGGATTCACATCATATATATATTTAACTTATGAAATTCAGGCATTTGGCCTCGCAATTCCACTCAATAAGGTGCATAAAAATGATTGAAAAGGGCTTCCCTGGTGGCGCAGCAGTTAAGAATCTGCCTGCCAATGCAGGGGACACAGGTTCGATCCCTGGTCCGGGAAGATCCCACATGTCGCGGAGCAACTAAGCCCGTGTGCCACAACTACTGAGCCTGCGCTCTAGAGCCCGTGAGCCACAACTACTGAGCCCACGTGCCACAACTACTGAAGCCCGCACGCCTAGAGCCTGTGCTCCACAACAAGAGAAGCCACTGCAATGAGAAGCCCGCGCACCGCAACGAAGAGTAGCTCCCGCTCACCGCAAATGGAGAAAGCCCGTGCGCAGCAACGAAGACCCAACACAGACAAAAATAAATAAATTTAAAACAAATGATCGAAAGGGAGGATGTTGCTGGACTGAGCCTCTCTCCATGATGAGTATTAGTCTGATACTTAAAACCACACCTCTCTTGTATAACTTGGCTCTGAAACCCAGCCGATGACTTGAGTGCTGTGTTAGTGTGCTGAAGAAATGAGTGTGCTTTATGGCTGCGCTGGACACTCACCTTTTGAATTTACCCTTTTCTGCTCTGCTCTGTGGTGCTGGGTCTGCAACTCAGCAAATCACATTTCTGCTTTGCTCCTTCTCCCTTTAGGTTCTGCCAACAGGGAGCACTCCAGGGAGACTGGATGGCTAGGGGAGGGAGAAGGGACTGACCCTTTCCTCTCTGCCTGCAGTTTCTCTCACCTTGGTTGTGGCCATTGGTCCTAGTCTTCTGTTTCTCTGGCACTTCCAGAACAGCCCTCATCTTACCTTCCTTGGAGGTATCAGCACCAACTGGGCAATTCCTTCTCCCAGGAGGTCTAAGTCCAGACTCCCAGCCCCTGTGAGGTCTCTCCTCTGATGACACCATTGACTAGGCTGCACCCCCTCCTCAGATATTTGAGTCCTAGCTCTGAGGCCCCTCTTCTGAGCTGCTAGGTTCTGATAACTCCAAGCTCCTCCCACTAGACCCATGGTTCTCAAACATGGTCCTGGGACCAGCAGTATCAGCAACTCCTGGGAAATGCTATTTAGAAATGCAAATTCTCGGGCTTTCCTGGTGGCGCAGTGGTTGAGAGTCCGCCTGCCGATGCAGGGGACACAGGTTCCTGCCCCGGTCTGGGAGGATCCCACATGCCGCAGAGCGGCTGGGCCCATGAGCCATGGCTGTTGAGGCTGCGCATCCGGAGCCTGTGCTCCGCAGCGGGAGAGGCCACAACAGTGAGAGGCCCGTGTACCGAAAAAAACAAACAAAAAAAGAAATGCAAATTCTCAAGCCCCACTCCAGACCCAGTGAATCAGAAACTCTGGAGTGGGGCCCAGCCATCTGTGCTCCGACAAGCCCTTCAGGGGGTTCTGATGAAGCTTAGGCTTGAGAACCACTGCCATAGACCCCAGGCTTAGGGTGGCGCGCTGTTTCTTGTAGTTACAATTTCTGTATGACTTCAATTTTCCTTTTTGGTTCTCGCAGTCCTCCAAAATGTATTTAACCATTTCCCTATGTTAAATTTCTTCTGTGGAAATACCTAGTGTTTCTTCTGTCTGACTGATACAAGGAACAATTTAGGTGGTCACCTACATGATGAAAGCTGAATTTAGTCAAAATTACCAATGAAAAACTCCTGAAATTTCCCACAGAGGACAGCATACAGATATCCCGTTCCTCAGTAAGCCCACCAGGTTCAGCACTGGAATTGATGGCGGATTCCTCTGCAGAGATAAGTAGTCAGCCTGACTGTAGTTTGAAAAATAGGTATTATTTAAAACCTCTAGTCATATTCAGCATGGCGAGATGCTTGTGTTATGAGGGCACCTGGAAGCTGAAAACTATACCGGTTTAGAAGAAGTCCTGTGAAAACTTGGACACATTTCTTCCTCTCTGTTTTATTTTTCTTACCTATAAAATGGACAGATTGGACCAGAGCACTGGTTTTTAGAATCTTTTTAAAATTGTGTCAAGTATATATGTAACATAAAATTTACCATTTCATCATTTTTTAATGTACAGCTCAGTAATGTTCATTGCATTCACACATTCACATTGTTGTGCAACCAGTCTCCAGAACTCTTTTCATTCTGTAAAACTGAAACTCTATACCCATTAAACTATAACTCCTCATTCCCACCCCTCCCCAGCCCCTGGCAACCACCGTTTTACCTTTATATATCTATGAATCTGACTACTCTAGGTACCTCATATAAATGGAATCATACAGTATTGGTTCTTTTGTAACTGGCTTATTTCACTCAGCATAATGTCTTCAAGGTTCATCCCCACGTTGTAGTATGTGTCAGAATTTCCCCCCTTTTTAAGGCTGAATAGTATTCTATTGTATGTATATGCCACATTTAGTTTATCCATTCATCTGCCCATGGACACTGGGCTGTTTCCACCTTTTGGCTACTGTGAATAATGCTCTATGAACACAGGTGTATAGAGCACTGACTTTTAAACTGTAACTACTCTGTAATAGTAATAATAATAATAACAACAGCAGCAGCAGTAGCCAACTTTTATAGGGTGCAAAGTGTGAGCTGGCATTGTCTTAAATGCTTTACACACATTAACGCATTTAATACTCAAACAACTTCATGAGTTGGGTACTTTTATCATCCTTGTTTTCCAGGAGAGGAAACTGAAGCCCAGAGAGTTGAGTTATCCTGTCTGAGGTTATAGAGTTGGTATGTGATAGACAGTCTGCCTCAGTGTGGAGCTTCCAATCATGCTGCAGCCTGCCTTAGGCCTGGGGACACCTCTGAGTCTCTGCAGGAATCATTATAGGGATGGGCCCAATTCCCCCCCTCCCCAGTTAGAGCCCCTCCACTTTTATCTATTTTCATTTGAACACCAATGTCTATAGCTACAAACAAGTTTGAAAAAAAATATCACTGACTGAAATGGTAGAATTCCTCCTATTCCAATATTCTATGAGTCTAGTCTTTTTATTAGTTTAAAAAAAGATCGACAGCATGCCATGGAAGAACGTCCAGTAACCTGGCAACCATGTTTGTTGATAGGAAATACCTGAGAGCTGGGTTCACTGCACTCCAAGGTTTCTGACTCAAACATCTGTTTCTGAAGCGTCTTGTGAAAATCTTTTCGGGATCCAGTCTTTTTAAAGCCGCAAATCTCCGAACTTCCTTGGTTTCTTTCATTGTTGTTATTAAATAAGAGAGAGTGTGGAAGGAGGGAGAGGGAGAGAGAGAGAGAGGCAAAATCATTAGATTAAAATAAAAGTAATGGCTTAAGTGCAGACATGGTGCTGAAAGATCTTGTAAAGAGAGGACCATTTGTAATTCTTCACATCTAATTATGCACCAGGCCTAACACAAGGCTCTGTTGTAATGACATACAAACTTGCCTCCTGGCTGGCTCATTATTAAAGGCAGGAGTGGCCTGGGAAAATGCCACTTCAGCGGTGCGGCCATTTCAGCTGTGGGGCATTTGGCTCCAAGCTGAAGCTAAACTATGACCCTAGTGTAAGAGGCTGGAATAAATCTAGCGAAGGGCAGACGCAGCGAATAAAGGTCGTTTGAAGATAAAAATAGAGGAAAACATTTAATCTCCAAATCAATGTTCTTAGTAATGAATAAAAAAGGCAGGACACGGCTAAGAAAAAATAGAAATAAATGATTTATGTACCGAAAGTCTTTGCTGCTATTCTCAGTCCCCACTCCATTAAACTTGTGTTTAAAAAATGTTGCAAATATTATATATCACTTATATGTAGACTCTAAAAAATAATTCAAATGAATCTATACAAAACAGAAACAGACTCACAGACATAGAAAACAAAGTTACGGTTACCAAAGCGGAAAGGGGGGGGTCATGAATTAGGAGTATGGGATTAACAGATATAAACTACTACACATAAAATAGATAAGCTTATTTTTGTGTATGGTGTTAGGGATAATTTCATTCTTTTACATGTAGCTGTCCAGTTTTCCCGGCACCACTTATTGAAGAGACTTTTTTCTCCATTGTATATCCTTGCCTCCTTTGTCATAGATTAGTTGACCATAGGTGCGTGGGTTTATCTCCGGGCTTTCTATCCTGTTCCATTGATCTATATTTCTGTTTTTGTGCCAGTACCATATTGTCTTGATTACTGTAGCTTTGCGGTATAGTCTGGAGTCAGGGAGTCTGATTCCTCCAGCTCCATTTTTTTCCCTCAAGGCTGCTTTAGCTATTCGGGGTCTTTTGTGTCTCCATACAAATTTTAAGATTTTTTGTTCTAGTTCTGTAAAAATTGCACTGGTAATTTGATAGGGATTGCATTGAATCTGCAGATTGCTTTGGGTAGTATAGTCATTGGGATTGACATATATACACTAATGTGTATAAAATAGATAACTAATAAGAACCTGCTGTATAAAAAATAATTCAAAAATTCAAAAATTCAAAAAAAATAAAATAGATAAATAACAAGGATTTACTGTATAGCACAGGGAACTATACTTAATATCTTATAATAACCTATAATGGAAAATATTCTGAAAACATATATATATATATACACATATACATATATAACTGAATCACTTTGCTATGCACTTGAAGCTAACACACTATTGTAAATCAACTATACTTCAATTTTAAGAAATGTGTTGCTATGGAAAGGGTTTAATATGATGTCTAGCACTGTCACTGGAGAAAGAAGTGAGACCATCACAAAAAAGGCAACAGATATACGCTGTCAAATAATAACTATAGAAACCAACATGTGTATTCCCCATTTTTATGACTCAAAGGCCTCCTGGAAAACATGCTGCAGACTCAACCACACAAACATGCACCTGTTTTGTTTGATTTCCCACACTATTAGGAAACCACTGAGCAAGCTGGTAAAGGGACGTGAAATGAGGTTAGGATTTATTAGGCAGATCAGATGGAAGACAAGTAAAGCCGGAAACGTAGGAGAGCTACTAGCGATGATCCAAATACAGTTTATAACTCTTTGGGAGGGGCGAAGTGCTGGGTTATGCACAGTGGCACAGAGCAAGTATTCAATACTAAGTAAAAGAGGCCAGGAAAAAAATAAAAAGATAACTGCATGATTCCATTGATATGACATTCTGGAAAAGGAAAAGCTCTAGAGACAGAAAAGAGATCAGTGGCTTGCCAGGGTCTGGGGGTAGAGAAAGGGGTTGACCGCAAAGAGGCCTGGGGGAATTTGGGGGGTGGGTGGGGCGTGGAACCATTCTGTATCTTGATTGTAATAGTGGTTACACAACTGTATGCATTTGTCAAAACTCACAGAACTTCAGTCTAAAAAGAATGAATTATAATTACCTCCAAATCAATGGACAGTTTCGGATTATGCCTGGCATTAATTAGGATAGTATGTACATTTAATAGTCATTCAACATAAGGGCTGATACTTCGCTGCGGTTTATTATAGGATGGTGGTCTCACTGAAGCAGGAGTGAATGGATTTAAGTCCTGGCTCCACAGCTTACAAGCTGTGTGACTTAAGGCAAATGAGTCTACTTCTTTGTGCCTCAATTTCCTTATCAAGATAATAAGAATTAGAATAATACCTAGGTCATCAGTTCTACTGCATGCAACAAATAAATTCTCATATGTAAAATACTTATAAGATTTCTTGGCTTATGGCCATAATTCAGTAAATATCTGCCACTACTTAATAATGTTTATTAAACAGTATTAGAGAATATGGCTCAATTATATGCCAACTGTCCCTGTCAGTGGACAAATAATCCAAATTAGACCAATGAATAAGATATTATAAGCAAAGGAAAAATAAAAAAAGGTACAACTCAGTATTGTTGAAGATTTCTTTTAATGCAATGGTGCAGGATAGATTTCACATCTTAGGCACTAAAATGTATGTATTCATGGGATAAAGATAAGATTTGAAAAATCATAAGAATTATACCTTAGGGCTATTCTAGTTCCAATTCAACCTATGCAAAATATTCCTTTCAAGTGAAATAAGATTTTCTGAGGACTTCAGAAAATGCACTTATCTTAGTATGTCAGAGGAATGAACCCCAAACTCTATCTCATATATTTTAATGCGTCACAGGGGAAAAAACTACTTTCCTCTGGAGGACCATGCTTAATGAAGCCGCTTTGCTTTCTATGGATGTCTTTTTTTTTTTTTATACAGCAGGTTCTTATTAGTTATCTATTTTATACATATTAGTGTATATATGTCAATCCCAACCTCCCAATTCATCCCACCACCACCACCACCCCCCCCACCTCTGCTTTCCCCCCTTGGTCTATGGACATGTCTTTGTCATCCATAACCATACAGTCAAACACTGATTTAGTTAGCTCTTTTATTCCTCAATTATCTCCTTGCTGATATTACATTTCTCTATAATACCTAGGAATAGTCTTTTATGTCCTTGCTATGTGTGATAATGGCTTTGAATCCCACTTAGGGGGCAGAGGAGTAGAGTAATGGCCACTTGTGTTCCCTCCCACTCTCATAATTCTATAGGACATGTGCCACTCAGATCCTATAATTGAGACTTTGAAATCAGACAAATAGTGCCGCTCATGCAGGATAGAGGAAAGTTTTAGATTTTAACTTAGTAGGGAAAGATTAAAACTACACAGAAGCACAAAGTACTGTTCTCCTTTTGGGAGAACTGTATTTTCCGACTTGAACTGTTTGCCTCTGTTACTTAGACTGGAAGATGCCTTGAATGAATTTCATTTTATCTTTTTCATGTCTATAGCACAAAGTTTTGTGTCCTTGCTCTAAAAATCATAGCACTTTCCCCTTCATGCCTTTTGCAAATGACCGTTAATCTAATGAATAGAACGGTGCCACGGCTGCTTGTTTATCTCATCTTATTTCCACATATTTTGACAATTTTGTATGTATTGCTGTTTCCTGGCATCCTTTGGGTGATGGTAAATACTATAAGCATTATTTTCTCTGTAATTTTCTTTAATGAACTAAAGAGAGAATAACTTAAGAATGTGTTTGGTGTCTTGGTGGAGAGTAAAACTCTGAAGTAATTAAACTTGTTGACATGCTATTTATTCTTGGTGTATTACCCATAGTGACAGTGAAACATTTCACGAGTGTTTTGAGCAGCACATAAAAGCCCTTAGACTTTGTCTTTCATCCTGGGTGATTAAGGTAATTCTGAAGGAAGGTCATGCTCAAGGAGAGCTGGGATATCAAGGAATGGGGTATCATCTGTTTTATTACTCCATATTTTACTCCCAGTGAACTGGTAAACAATTAAAATTCAAACACATCAGTGCATATAATTCAGTTACTCCCAAAACACCATAAAAATGTCTCCCTGATCAATAATTGCTTATTATGACATGCATTTGTTGCTCTGGCTGTCAAGGTGCTTAGCTATTTGCTTTCTGAAAGTATGGAAAGCAAGCCAGCCTCATCAGCCTATGCAGTGACAAAGAGCAATCCAGCTGTGGAAATCACTGTGCCACTCTTGACTTCTTACATGCAGACTCCCCATCCCCATAAATCCACTCCCACGGAAGCCCAATTCAAAGGCCAGCACTTGCACCGAGCCTTCCCTAACCTGGCCAGAAGTAACTGCCCCCTTCTCTGAATTTTCAAAGCATGTTGTTTGTATTTCTCTTAGAAGCTTTTATAATATTCTATGTTACAGTCTAATTACTTGTCTAAATTTTTATCTCCCCTGCTAAATATGTGCTCTCTCTCACTAGACTATGACTTTGCTGAGGACAGGGCCTCCTTTAGCGATAGGATTCCTGTGTATTCCTCTTTGCATCTTCTTTGGTGCCTTATTCTCAGGAGATATTTTCTAAACATTTGTTGAATGGGAGAACGAATGCAACTCTAACAAGCAAATATCTATATCGTTTTCCTCTCACATAAGTGTTCTCAAATCTGTCAGATCCAACACTGTCTTTCTCTGTAACAAATGTTTTATAATGCCACCTTTATAACCCATCAACTTTCTCATTTTTAGAAGTCAATAAAATGTCCCAGCTGTTATATAAATGAGAAATAAAAGAAACATAATACCTAAAATAGCATGTATGTAAATATGCAAATGCCTGGACACAACTACACCAGAGGACATAATGATGTCCCAGCTGTTTGCACCTGTAGGAAGATGTCTGCACCTGTAGGAAAATGTCCCAGCTGTTTGCACCTGTAGGAAG